GGCAGGGGGTGTGACTGGATGGTCTTTAAGGTCCCTCCCAACCCAAACCATTCCATGATTCTGTTTCAGATGTACATCCATTAAAATGGCTGACCCCACCACCCTCCAATAGCTTTGGGGTTGCTGTAGACCAGTGGTGTCTAAATTTCCCAAAAGGTTGTGATTTCCAAGGTATGAAGCTCCAGAACAGAGGAAAGAGGAGTTGATACCTCCAGGTGGCAGCCTGGGCTCGGCTGTCACTAGATGCTGGAGGGACCCAGCACCCAGGCACTGGGATTTGCTGCCCGCTTGGAACAGTCCCACAGCAGCTGGATGGTCCCTCACTCCCAGGTGGATCCACACACGCTGCCTATCCCTTTCCTGAGCAAACAGTTACCCAGCCCTGGTGTCACATCTACATCCACCACCTCTCTTCCCAACCCACCCTGATAGAAAGCAGTTCCCAGCACCTTTGGATGGCCCCATCTCTGTCATTTTTCCAAGATATCTGCTGGCTGGAGGAACAGAGTCACTGAAATTCTCTCCAGATCTCAGCTATGAACTCCCAGTGCTGCTGGATGTGTGGAGGACTGGTCAGTGCAGGACATGGCGTCCATGCTATGCCAAGCCTTGCGCCCAGTAGTCCTGAGTGCACATTTTTGTTGGAGAAGTCCCAAAGGGATTTAAGAAAATCCTGCTAAAAAAAAAAAAAAAAAGAGGTGACCAGCAGGGGTCACATCCCTTTAGCTCATGGCTGGGGAGGAACGTCCCAAAACCACAGCCCTGCTAGCATCAGTCCCCTGGGCGAGCAGACAGCGCTAGGCAGGGCCCAACGTGCCCCGTAACCCCGAAGGACGGGTAAGCAGCTGCCCTGGTCTCAAAGAACAGCCTGTACCGAGCTGTAGGCACTTACACACCTGCAACGAAAGGGTTTTGGGGGGTGAAAGCTGGCTGCAAAGCTGGCCCCTGCCACGCAGATGCTGGGGCTTTGCTATTCAACAGTTTAACTGCTTCCCCAGCCGTTAGCTAAGCACCAGGCAGTTGGTATCCAGAGGGGTGGGAAAACCACCGAGGCTGAGGGATAGAAAGTCATTTAAAAGGAGAGGGGACGTGCATGAGCACCAAGGAAGGGACTGGCAAGCCCACAGCTCGCAGCAAGCCCCCAGGAGAATTTGCTCCCCATTTTCTCAATTAGGGAAGTGCTGCTGGAAGAAGCTTTTTAGGTCAGATACTTGGATCAGGAGATTTCTTTCCCATTTATCTTCAAAGCGCTGCTGTTTGGAGTGGTGTCAGGAAAAAACCCTTGCATTACGTTAGGGTGCTTTCAGGAGAAGAGCCAAACCACGGGAGGTTCCTCAGCACCAAGACTCGTGACCACTTTGTGATGCTCAGTTCTTCCCAGTGTTTCTTCCAGCACCCAAGGAGATGGCTCAGTGGGGCTCTCCCACACCAGCATCAGACTGGATGCAGTACGGGACACATGCATGTGCCAGCCAGCTGGTGGAAGCATTTGTGCTCTTTAAGGTAATGGGCAAGAAGAAGTCAGCAAAGTGTTTCTGAAGTCATCAAATTCTCAGTGGAAGAAAGAACATGTCAAAGCAATCTCAGCACCATCACTCAGCCCCCAAAACTCATGCAGGATTCCTTGTTCAAGCAGCAATCTCTCTCCAGTTTCTGCAGGTCCCAGAAAGTTCCTGAGATTATTGCAGCCAAAGCCCCACAGGATCCAAGGTCCTGGGGTTTAAATTTTCACGCTCTGCAAAGGGAAGTTGCATCGACACCTTGGTCCTCTGAACCACTTGGCACCCAGCTGGAAGGGAAGAGCCGTGCCTGGGATTAGGTTTGTGATTCAAGCCGCCCCGCTCCCAGTGCGGAGGAGGCAGCAGAGCAGTGATGATGCTACAGGGAACACGAGGGGCTCAGCCTGTGCCCGGTGTCACAGCTACTTCCCCAGGCTCTGCCCGGCGTGGTCTGAGCTCCCGCGGAGGGAGCAGCTTGTGTGTTCCATGTGTGGCCTCCAAAAAGAAGGACTAGATGGTCTTTAAGGTGACTTCCAAACTAAACCATTCCATGATTCTATTTTATCTTGGGGATAAAAAAAAAAGGCAGCTTAAAAGCTGGGCTAGTTGTCACGACCCGACCTTGCATCTGTCAGTATAATTTGGGAGACAATCCAGCTCCGTGGTCCTTGCTCCATCAAGGAAGTAGCAGGTAGCTGCGGAGGGGTAGAGGTGAGCAGATGAATACCCACAGGGTTGTGGTGAGTGCATGTGGAGCATGGAAGAGGCTGGATGACCTGCTTCCATACAGCTCTCTCCTGCAGCACAAAAACACTGCGGGATGTGAGCTGTACCCGAGCTCATCCCCAAAGGTGAGGTTAAGAGTGGAACTGACAGAGAGCTGGGAAACAACAGACAGAAATAAAGAATTCACCCCTATCTCCCAGTGCAAGAATTAGGTGGTGACAAATGAGGCCAGCAAGCTGAAAATTAAAGAGGAGGCTGCTCTCCCCACAAGAGGGAGGCAGCCTGCAGGAGTCCTCACTCCTGGATGCTGTCCACAGCAGAGGTTCACAGGGGCCCAAGGGGTCCAGGCCATCAGGGACCACTAACTAAAATCAAACTTGGGTCAAAATCAGTTAATAGGTTCAATAGTCACCAGCATGTGGTGACTAAAGTGTCAAGTGTCGAGTACTGCATCTGGGG